CAGACAAGTGAAGAAATTTTGTTTCTTTTACTACTACCTTGTGTAAAGTTTTCTGCTGCCCTGCTTCGCTTATGGCTGACTGATGAGTGAGTTGCATGAGATCCGTCCGTGCCATCAGCGACTCGCGCATGAGCGTCAGATAGGCGTTGTATTTCGAATAGTTTCGCCTCCCGGTTTCATCCGTCATCAGGACCCTCGCCTCCTCGTGGCATTTGTCACGGACTGACTTCAGACGATGTGCTTCGTAATATCCCAACGCCAATTTGAACGATATGAACACAAAGAACATTCGAATGGTTTTCTATTCAGATGTCCCACTATATGAACGTGAAATCGAGATGCAGTCGTGGCCCAGAAGAACAGCTTGGGCATTTAAATACCTAAAATTGTAATAAAATTTAGTGAACTGTGAAATAAAAATCTTTAAAAAAGACAAAAACTATCAGTGAATGATCAGTGATTGAGTGTATCAGTGATTGTCAATGTTAAGAATATTTTTGGGAGTATTCTGGTCTAAGGGCATGAATTAGATGCGATATTTGAAAGGCTGTAAAAAGACGAAAACAACATTTTTACTATATTTTTATTACAGGTTATTAATTAATGTCTTAAAAATTTAGAAAAAAATTAAATCTGTCATTTTGATTTGGAGATGATGAAGTGTGGGTTTTCAATTTATTGGCACCTGACCATGCCCAAAATTTTAACCCTACAAATAATCTTATCAAAATATGTATATATTGTTAATCTAGAATAATGTCTACAACTATGGACAAGTTAAAAAAAAATTTTTTCGCAAAATAACGACAGTGGAAAAAGAAATTTTATTAAAGACAGAAAAAGAAATTTTTATCTTCTAAGATATTCGAAATTTGAGGATGACCGTAATTCATACTAAGGAAAAGTCTATTAAAAAGACTCTGTATCGAGGAGGATTATTGTGATCAAACACTAAATCTCCGAAAATAATTTGAATTTTGAAAAAAGCTGTTGCACAACATATTCTTAAAAAGCTAAAATTTGAAAACATGAGCCAAAATCTCTTTTTTTTTTAATTCTAGACCATAGCCAGGAACCGACGTTTATATTATCAATGATTATGTTCTATGCAGTCAAACATCATCATGACAATAATGTGTCAGCAGTAAATAGCTAAACCACGTCAATGCAAATGTATTGAATTTAACTTATCATCGTCACCATCAATCCTTAAACGCATCAACTTCCTATGTCAATCAATCTTTCGATATATGGTATTTTTTTAAGTGTTAATTTTGTGTGAGACCGACCTTTTTCTGCAATATGGTCGCTTTCTCTCGGCAGTGATTTAAGAGTGGCCCCGTAACCGGGTGCCGTCTCGACGCCGACGCAATACTCGGACTCGCTGATTTGCCCTTCTTCCCATCGGACTGACCGTTCTGACACTCAAATCCAAACTGCTCTCCTCATCCTAGGGAAATAAAGACACAAATTAACATATTAACAATGATATTTTTTTTATTTCTATAAAAAACTGCAGGTTAACAATCCCCATTTAATCCAACAAATCTATTCTGAAACTGACCAATCATTGATTGCCGTAGATATAGCGAATCTGACTTGCACGATGCGGAATGTAACTCAGAAATACGTTTTAATATTAAATCAGATAATAATATTAATTTGTAGTTCACAAAATATTAAATCAAAAAGTTACATTCATATATTTTATTTTGCAGTAACATATTCAATTTATGTATGATATACTTCAAAATAGTCTTTTAGATCCTACAGAGTATACCTCCAAATTGTGGTAATATTAAAAAGATTTAAAAAAGACTCCATGCCTTTAATTTATAAAGTTACAGGAAGGACGACCTGATATTATATGTACATCTTTTTTGACTTGATTTATTTTATAGGCCTGTGATTGTTCAATGAATCACGATTTCCATGACCCATGCATAAAAGCAAATAATAGCAGTCAGTCAACAATGTCGTTACGACTTGGATTGAGCAACAAGTATAAGAATTACGTAAACTGTTAATGTGTTCCGTCAATATAATTTTTTTTTTTTTTTGGTTTTGCATAGGAAAATAAGAGCAGAATACTATTAGTACTTCGGTTGTATTTGGATGGATGGATTATTTTTGAATCTTTTTTTATATTGTAAGAGAGCATGCAAAACCGTAGGATTTAAAAAAATTGACTTTGAAATAACAAAATCTTCTGACCATTGTTAGAGATTTTGGAAAATAGACACATGAACTGGTAGTAACATGAAGTTCATTTTCAATCTTGTCCTGGTAATTGTTTGGCAAATGAGCTGGAACGATTATTCCTTGGAAGATTTTAGGATTTTAAAAAAGTAAAAAAATATCATTTGGGCATTTACTTTACCGTGAATCAAATATGCAAAATGACTAATCGGATAAGCCTAGACATTTGCATCTATAGAATGTATGCAATCGAATAATAACTATCAAATTAGTTATCTTTTGTATTAGTTTTATCACATTTATTGAGCTATTGTACTGCGATTTTACTAATTTTAGATCAATTAAAGTTTGATTTTCATAGATTTTACTCTATTTTTTATTCTATTAAGGTTTTGCTCAGATCTGAAACCAGGTTAGAGCAAACCCGTGCTTTAAAAATACCGTGCTCTAAGGAGGGTGATATCAATTCTTAAACCGTATTAGAGCAAATCCGTGTTATAGAAGTACTGTCATTTATTGTTATACGGGGGTTACCTGTACACTGGTGCTACGTTAAAATGATTGATTGATTGATGTATTATTCTATTTAGAAAAATATAAATAAATATTTTTCATTCGTATTTGCATTTATAATACTTTAATGCGCCTGAGCTGTATTCTTCTACATAAACTTATTAATTAATCTTTATAATTAAGACATTTGACTAAAGTAGTCAGCAAATAGCTGCTGAAATTACCAATATACAAGTTGCAAAACTATTCTGAATTTAATATGTATTACTTTTTAATATGATATATTAAATTAAAAATAATATCAAACATTAAAATAAAGTGACCTAATTATGCTTAAACCAACATTTAATGCTTAAAAATAAAGCTGATAAGGGAGCGTCCATTAATCACGTGAGCCAAAAAGGGTGAAGGTGGGTTTGACAAAAATCACGAAATATCAGGGAAGGATCTGGTAAGATATCAAGTGTATTTATATTTTACCTCAATTTAAAAAAAACTAAATATTTTCAAAAAAAATAAAAATTTTTATGATTTTCTCTAGGTACTAAAAATACACGTGTTGTGTGGGGGAAAGGGGGTAATTTCAAATATCACCGCCTATCAACAAAGGGGAGGGGAGAGGTCTGAAAATACTTAGAAATCGTTCACGTGATTAATGGACGCCCCCTAAGACGACGTCATGTATTGCAAGTTCCAGGTGCTGGACATTAACACCACAATTAATTTGCTCTACATAAAGGGTAACTAAAAAACACACTGTTTGCCACCAGATCCCTTCGGCAAATGATTAAAATTCCAATTACCCTCACCTGCATCCGCTCCTCCATCTGCTGATCGGCACCTCGTCCCGGCGGCAGCGTGTTCCACACAAAGACCACGTTCTCCATGGGATGCGGCCCTTGGAGGTCATCAACCGGCGCAGTTGAAGCCGATTCTGCTGCGTCCATGTCAATTGTCGCGTCCGCCTTGAAAATGATAATTCACACACTTTGTAGCTAGTAAAAGCACTCTCATATGGCACACATATAAACGAACTAGAATTATTGCAGGGGAGGAAAACAGAGGAATAAGATAAATTGAAACATTAAACGTGATTAGTTAATTACTATAATTCTCGATGTTTTTATAAATTTACGAGTTCTGAATAAATTTCTATGATTATCGAGAAAATAAAAAACAAACAAAAAATTATAGTTGTTTACTGATGTGTAGGGATACATATTTGTACAATGATGAATTAGGAGGCGTCCATTAATCACGTGAGCGAGTTTTTAAAGATTTTTAGACACTCCTTCCACCTTGGTGATACATAGTGATATTCAAAATTACCACTCCAGCAAACATCACGTGTATTATTAGTTGCGTAAAAAATCTAAAAAAAAAATATTTTTTTGAAAATGCTTAAATTTTTTTTAAAAAATCAGTTAAAATCTCCCTCTCCCACGTGATACTTCGTGATTTTTTGTCCAACCCCCCGCTCCCCCTAAAAACCTCACGTGATTGATGAACGCCCCCTTATCTGGGAGTTTTACTGAACATAGTCAGATAGTTGGTTATATGATAAGAGTTAATGGTTTGGTTTTTACTATATAATTTCTTTCTGCCCCGTAAGCACTATAGGGGGGCGGGAGTGTATTTGATTTGCTTATTTTGGGTTGACATGGGGGGCAGGGGAGTCTGGATGATAATTACGTCATAGGTAGTATTTTTATTTTTTTACATTAATTGCAAAATGTTTACGTAAGCATGGGGCTAGGGGGTAAGAGCTTTGCTTACTTTTGCTGTCAAGGGGGATGGGGGGATAAATAATTGTAATAAATCTGCTTACGTAATACTTGAACGATCTCCTACCAGTAAAATCTGATAACTTAATTATTGTATCTATGAAAGGTTGACCGCCCCTGGTAAATAAAGATTCACTTGCGTTGTCGTATATCGTACGTTTCATTAACCCACAATTATATCGTTGACACCGGCAAGAAATCCAATATGTACATAGTATCACTTATCGCTCGTTACATTTAAATAAAAATACATGTAATTTAGTAATGATGGAATAGAAAATCTGGTCAATGAGGAATAAATAATTGGAAACTAATTATTTTTGCAGATGCAGAATTACTTGCATATTTAGTACAGCATGCCAATCAGCACCACAAATTATATTACGAACAATGATTTAAATTATTTGACCCAACAAACGTTCTGAAAATTAAAATTTATAGGCCTAGAATGGCTAGGAACCAACTAAAGCCTATCTAACCACCAAAGACGTTGTCCAGTGGAAAAGTACCAAAAATAATAAGATCTTATAATTAAATCTAGATTAACTAGGGTAATTTTAATATAACATAATGTAATGTAAATCTTACATGAAAGTGTTTATTATGCTTTATATCAAAATTTGAGTTGAATCATCATGAAGAATAAAAAAAACATATATTTTTTCTCTATCTTAAGAAATGCAACCAAGGATGCACATGTTGTAAAGACCTTGTGTTCATATGAGTAATTTCAACGAGCACTAAATAAATATTGCCAGTAGCAATAACATATTGCAACATGCATTAATGCAAGAAATTGTTACAGAAATTATAATGTGGAACATTTGGAAAACAATTATTTCTTGTGTGAATAAAACTGTTGTACTTCATTCAACATTTGAATTAATAATTTGAAGAAAATTTACTTATTTTATTAATAGACATATATATATATATATATATATATATATATATATATATGCAGGGCCGGATTTAGAAATTTGGCGCCCCGGGGCACTGACAATAATGCCGCCCCCATCCCTGAAATTTTACGAACTTTCGAACTTTTTTTTAAAGCAATCGCGCTGCTTCAACAATAAAATTCATACTTATTATTATAATATCTTTAAAATATCTGATAATTTAATGTGCATATGTCTCATGATCACTTTTGTCCGCCAAATGTTTCTTTTTCAAGTTTTTTTTTATAAACCGCTAAAAATGCCTCCCACAAATTTAAGCAGTTATTTATTCTGTAATTTTTTTGAATGATATTGGACGCTTTTTTTCTCAAAAACTGAAATATCATTTTTGGCATTTTGGCCTGTATCTTCAAAACAGTTGGACCTGCCTTGGCCAATAACTAATCAGCACGTCTCCTTATTAATCGGAATTGAATCATTTAAATCGGTTGATCCGTGTTTTCGAAATCGACTTGAATAATTAAAAAATATTAGATTTGTATTGATGGGGAAACGTACTGATTAGCTTTTGGCTAAGATAATTACGAAAAATGGTAATTGAGTTTCGATATTTCTTCTCTGAAACAGCTACACAGCGCGATTGCTTTGCAAAAAGTTCATAATTTTCGAAAAATTTCAAAATACAAAAAATGTGTTTTAAAAGTCTTTTTCATTTTTCAAAAAAATTTAAAGCTCTTTATAAAATGTAATTTTCAGTACGGGATGTTTCAGTAATTTGTCTTAAGGCACAATGCCATGAGTCACTAGTTGACATTTTTTTTTCGACGCTATAAGCTTGGAAGTGCACAAATTCGTCATTTTAAAAGAACTCGAGAACTGAAGAATATATTTTTCTTAAACTTCCAGCTTGTTTACGGATCCTTATATTAGCCAAATTGACAAATTTGATAACTTATTAACCAATTTGATAATTTACGTTTGGAGAGGGAGGCAAGGCAAAATAATAAATTTTAGTTATCGTTTATTTCAACCCAAATTTTGCATTGCAATCATATTATGTTTTGTTAATTATATTTTTTGAAATAAAAAATGTTGTTAAAAAAAAGTTGATTATATTGTATAGAATTTTTTTCTCACTATCCAAATTTTGCCGCCCCCCAAAATTTGCCGCCCTGGGCAGTAGCCCCGATTGCCCCTACTGTAAATCCAGCACTGTATATATGTGTGTGTGTGTGTGTGTGTGTGTATGTGTGTGTATATATATATCTTATCCGATTATAGATATATGTACTTTATCAGGACTTTAATATTGATAAAAGGCCTCGTATTTTATATATTTCAATGAATTAGCTGATAATATAAATTGCCAATATTTCTTCAAATATATGAAAAAATGTAATCAATGAACACCTTATCATATTAACATTTCAGCAACTTTTAAGAAAATGTGACCAGTTAATTGTAAATAATTTTCGAAATCAAAATTCAAAATTAATTTTAAAAATCAAATTTTTAATTTTAAAAATGACTCACCTTTCCATTTGAGCTGCTTTCACTGGACGCTCCCATCGAATTGGTGGAATTCTGCAAGTCTGCATTGGCGCAGGTCGCCAAATGTTGCAGCAGATCTGCACTCGATTTGCATCGATGTCTGCAGTACTGACATCTAGTTGAACGCAAAATAGACCCAGATCTGACACTTACATCCTTTGTTTCCATCGAATTGCATGTCTTTTGATGAGAAGCAGCCTCAGACAAAGAGCTAGACACGTGTCCACAGTTATTGCACGTGGCACTGCCACTTTCGCCAGCGTCCGTCAGTAGTTTTTCTTTGAGACGATCGAAAAACGAAGCGTTCTTTTTGAGTACTTGGTTTTATGTTGATTATGTTGATTACCTCTTCAGCTCCAACCAATGAGGCGAAATCTTTCAAGGCACTATTTTGCGATTTGGCGCAGATTTCGTTCATGTCCTTTTGGCTCATTTCCACGGAGTTCGCACCACTCGATCGTCTAGAAGAAGCGCTCTGGATTGGAATCAAATTAGGAATAGGCCTGGCCGCTTTCCTAGGTTTTTCAGGTTCTTCACTGCTAGATTTCTCACTATCATTTTTAGTTTGCAGTTCAAAACTTTGCGTTTTATTCGGCATATATCCGTTTGTATAACTGTCATTTTCAGCAAAATCATCTCTGCGCTTGATGGAAGACTGATACGATACCTTTTTATTCTGCTCGATCGTTGTATCGTTGTTGTTATTCAGTGACGCGTCCATCAATAGACTTGTATTCTTTTCCTGCAAAAAACGAATCATTCTTTAACTTTTTTCAACAAAACGTCATAAGGTTATGTTAAACTATCTTTTGTTTCTAAGCCGATCAAGGTTGTAAGACGATGGGGGTTGTGGCAGAGCCTACTCGCCCGACAAAAATAGTTCAAGAAAAATCGATAACAAAAAACAGTACCCAAATTCATTTCGATGCGTATTAACAAATATTGTCGTCTAGGAATTATATTCGGATGAAGAATTTCGAGTGTTCGCGAAGAAAACAAGACACATTAGCGTAGGCAGACAATGGATATGATATTTGTTTCTGCCTCGCCAATGTAATTATAGTTACTCTGTCATCTCATAAGAGGAGAGCTGGCAGGTGATTAGATTCACATGCAACTAGTTCAAAAATTATAGAATTAGTGTCATTTGATATAGATACTAGTTCAATTTTAATGGAGAAGATAATTAAAAAAATAGGTATACCTTTATATTTTTTATATATATTATGATTATGTTACTATATAGACTATATAATATAGTATAAATAATATATATTAAATATATTAAATATATTTTTGAACTAAATGAAATTAGTTATTTTATTAGTTATTAGACTAGTACAATTACAATGGAGAAGATAATTAAAAAATAGGTATACCTTTAAATTTTTTATTATGATTATTAGGGTTTATACAAAAACCGACATTTCAGAAAACCAGTTTTCGAAAAGTATTTTTTCCGAAAAACCGGTTGTAACCGGTTTTCAAATTTTATATAATAAATAAATTTTTGCTCGAATATTCTGAAATAACAAAAAAAATTACCGATAAATTTAGTGTGATTTAAAGCAGTTTATGACAAAATTTATTTACTGTTGAATTTTATTGATAGTAAAATTTATTTTAATTTTAATTAAAAGAACAAAGAAATAATAGTTGATCTGGTTTCTATATTTATTATGTATTAGTAAATTATATAATTCACATCGTCGCTGAAATTAGGATCAAATTTCTTTAAACATATGCCTATAATATCTATCAATTTTTTTATTATTATTATATAGCAATTTTCACACCTGTACTGATATGGACAACAATAAGTAAAACAGTAGGATTAAAAAAATTACTCTAAAAATACAAAATCCTCTAACCGTTGTCAGAGATTTTGAAAATTGACGTATGCAAATGAATCGTGAATTTCTTTTTCAATTTGCCCAGTTAGTTTAGGATGATCCTCGAGGCGGCTTTTGTAATTATCTGAATGTGTTCAAGTTTCATTGTTTAATGTGTTCAAATCGGCGACTTTAGTGTAATTTAGTGTAGTGACTTTAGTGTAATTTCATTTAGAAATTTATTTGGGCATCTTTGAATTTTTATCACATTTTTTGATTTGGAAGCTGATCGTCATTAACATCTTTTTGGCCATTTACGATTCATTTAGTTTCATTTGTATCTTTTAGGAAAATAAACTATTATAATATCAGGCTATGATGGCATAATGAGAAATATTGTAATTAACCTCCTTCGATTCAACACAAGTCTTGAACGCGTTGATATTTTGGCTCCAGCTACCTCATTAACAAACGTAATCGTTCTGCATAAGGATTAATAAACGCATGAATTATAAAAATGTGCCATTAGCGTGCACATATTAGTACAAATTGTGAAACATCTCTAGTCCAACAGCAGCTAAACAAATATTACTACACTACATGTTGTTAGTAGTACGTAGTCTTTCTGTTTGTTTATTTTTCAACTAACGACGTCCTGCTCGTACCAGCATCGACATTGCTTATTATTTATCTTAATTTGCCAAGAAAATTAAAGTAAACCTTATTTTTGATGAGTTTCCATTTTAGATCTTACTTATAGAAATAATTAAATTAATAATAAAAGCTCGACGAAAGGAAGTAGAAAATTGTGGGTAAAAATTTATGTTCCCTAAGAACAAATAAAATATTTTTACAATTGATTTTTTGAGTTTTTATTTATCTAGCTACAACAAATTCAAAGCTGATTTTTTTTAAATAGTATTTAATTTTAATTGCTTATTTTTGCTTTCAATAATATAATTTATTTTGTCTTGCCTAGTTAGGCCTTTTGAATAGTGCCATGTAGAATAATTGCCTTTATATTTTCAGTGAAATCTGCATTAGCACAGCTTCTTATCAAAAAACATTGTATATCATAATCCAAATGTTAGTGAAGCCATTTAGAATTCTCATTGTAGATAATAAATAAAAAATGTGCAAAAAACTAGTGTAAAAAAAATCATACATACACATTCATAAAATATAAGATTGAAAATTTGATCAAACACATTTGAAAAAAAAATGTTTTGGTGTAAATTTTGCTTGGACTGGGTAAACATTCATAGAATGGAATAAAATGCTTCCTAAAATGAATAGTACTAAGAAAACAGGTAGTTATAAAATCCTACCACATATTATCAATATTAAATATATGATGATTAAAATAGCAACCAAAAATTTAATTTTGAAATTTGAAACAACTTCATTCATTTTTCTTCATTTCTGGCCCTATATTTGTATACAATTTATTAATTATGCATTTGTATACAAATTTTCAATCGATTCTGATGACTCATATATTGAAGGAACGGAAAATCAATAGATTTTTAAAATCATGCTTTTTTATTTAAAATTTTAGGTCTAGCCGTTCCGAAGATACGGGGCAAAAAGTGCCAAAAATGGTAATTCAGTTTTTAAGAGAACGGATCATCCGATTTTAATAATTCAAAATCATTTTACTTGTATTGACGAAATGAACAACTGGCTTGGGAAGGCAGGTCCAGCGGTTATGGACTCTCAATAAAAATAAATTAAAAAAATGTCATTTGCCGGTCAAAAATGTTTATTGGACATATGTACATCAAATATTTCATAGATATTCATAGAGATTTTAATAATGTGTACACATTTTGTGTGATTTTTTTTGGGGTTCCGTACCAGATTTTTAATTACGGTACGGGAAATTCCAGCAATTTGCCTTAAGGCACGATGCCATGCACCCCACTAGTTTAAATTATTTTCTGGCAAATGTACCGTAGTACCGTAATAGGTCATCAGCACTTACAACGAGCTTTATTATCATCGCAATATCAGACCATAAGATTATGAGCTGTAAACAGCAAAATTAAAATATATTTATCAGACACTGAATGAAACATTCAAAAATTAGGATAATGTATTATGAAGATTAAGCTAAATATTACTAAAAAAAAATTAAATTACAATATTAAATATTAATTATTCCATTGTTGTCATTTTGTGGTTTACTTTACCAAAAAATAGAGTCAATGTGTGTCGTAAGAATTTAGAAATATGTGTAGAATAACTCTCCTCAATCAAATAACACGTATACTAGTGGTGACTGAACTAATGTCAAATTTTCTTACTTTTTAAGAATCATTGATTGATTCTGGTTAGACAATATATCTGTTGTACCAGTATCCGTTCCAAGCACGTGTCAATCATTACAATTCGTGTCAGTACACAAGCTCTTTAACTAAACAAGATACCGACGTCATAAGATGCACTAACTAATTACATTGGAACACTGCACACTCTTTTGCAATTACGTAAACAAAACTGCAAGACAATCTGCTAACTACACTGAACCCACACTTCGCAGTCGCCTTCGCTGGCCGGTTAGCAACATGCATAATAATATTAATAACCAAGTCTTTTTCCACAGACCTGCGACTATCTGTATAATCGTTTCTTCCGAAATTTGTGCATCTAGAACACACATATTGTAAGTGTATAAAAGCATGTCGGGATGTGTTAAAACGCTGATAACGTCCAACCTTATCTGTTAATACTAAATATGAAGCATTTACAATATTTCAGAAATCTAGTACAAAACAGCGAAGCACTACTACGTGCTTTGCTTCGCCTCTCTGCCATCGCCTTGGAATCAGATCGAACGCGTGTGTACATGCACTCAAGCCAAGACAAGGCACTGCGTGCATGCGTTCTTCAAACTTTATTTGCCCGATTCATTTCTTGCAATATGTTCAAGCAAAACTTTTAGAAACATTCATTACGACCCCATAATTGCATCATATCATAAAAACCTTGGTTAAATGAAGGTCAAGCGCCCATTGATCACGTGAGGCTCAAAAGCATAGTAGAGGTTTAACAAAAGATCACGATATATCACGTTGGGGAGAAGTGTACTAATACATTACATAGTTCTCCGAATTAAAAAAAAACAGAAAAAATCAAAAATTTTAGAATTTTTTCAGATACTCATAATAAACGTGATTGTGGATGGAGCATGAGAAATATTTTGAAATATTACTTTGTAACTAAAGTCCACAAAGCCAACCATATTTCTTTAACCAGTTTGAATATATTTGTTTGAGTCAAAATTTTAAATTTAAATGGCATATGGGTACTGTTTTATACGCATGACAATATACTTGTCAATACAAAAAAATCTGCTACAATCAATACGTCAATATTCGTCAATTTTCGTTAATATAAAATCAACTAGTGGTATATGGCATCGTGCCTTAAGGCAAATTGCTAGAACTTCCCGTACCGTAACGAAATGTTCGAGGAATATTAGGGGGCTTCCATTAATCACGTGAGCGAGTTTTTAGGGACTCCCCCTCCCCCTTGGTTATACATGGTGATATTCAAAATTACCCCTCCTCCCCCACCAAACATCACGTGTATTTTTAGTTGACAAAACTGTGATTTTTTTTCATTTTTTTAGTAGAAAAAACTGTAAAATTTTTTCATTTTTTTTTTAAGTGTTTGAACACTAAAATTTTGAATACTAAAAAAAATAGTTAAAAAATAAATACACATGATATCTTAATATACTCCTCCCTCCCCCATATGATATTTCGTGATTTTTTGTCAAACCACCCCCTCCCCCCAAAAACCTCATGTGATTTAAACTGAATTAAAAAGTCAAAAATATTTATTTAAATTATATAAATGAGCTTTAAAACTTTAGCTAGAGGTAAAATTGAAATCAGAATTATTTTTGATACACAAAAAAATGAAAAAAAAAATTGAAATAAAATTTTTTTTTTCAAAAGCAATTGTTTTGTCAACACAAGCAGAAAGTTTTTTGAATCATTCAATTCGGATGCTTATTTCTCTCAAAAACTGCCATTTTTTGTACATTTAGCTCTGTATCTTTGAAACAGCTAAACCTGTCTTTGCCAAAAAGTAATCACCTTCTCCCCGTCTTCACGAATTGAATGTTTTTTAGATCAATCAAATCGGACGCACCGTTCTCTCAAAAACTCGATTTCTATTTTCTGCACTCTTTGCTCTTTATCTCCGTAATAACTGGATCTGCCTTTGCCAAAACTAACCAGCACATCTCCCTATCAATAGGAATCAAATGTTTTTGAAACTATTCAAATCGGTTGACCCGTGCGCCCGAAAACGTGAACGAAAAAATGTACACATACAAACACACCCACACATCCATTTTTTCTTTGGTATGCCAAAATGTTCAGAAATCTTCAAAACGTGAATATATGCAAAAATTTTCATTTTCGATTTTCGGCTCATTACTATAATTACTCTTCGGGAAATCAAATGTAGTCTCGCTCTTGTTATTAAACACCTAGACTAAACTTGCATCATGTGCCTTCATGAATTTCAGATACTCTGAAACTAAGCATTTCCTGTCCCATACTGGAAACTAAAATTGACCATGAAATACAA